AAAATAACTATCAGTGTTTGCTCAATCCGATGTATCGATTTGCATCCGGGCTTTGAGCTACCCGCTATCTAAATATTCCCGGACTCGTCGAAGAACGGCGGAATACATTAATATCGGATGAGTTGATGGCGAAATGAACTTGTATCGAAAGGACCGGTGTGCCACCACGATCAAAAACTCATTGCAAATATTTTATCCGACATATTGCATCCGAGAGACCTAAAAGAGGTTTGCTTGAGGCGCGTCAATCGATCGATGTTTTATTTTGGAGTCTGCATTTGACGAATTGCGAAATCACCGTAGGAATCTCATGATTTTTCCCTCCTTCTCTCTTTCCGTCTACTATTCTCTTCTTCTTCTGACTTTACGCATTCAAAATTGATTACTTTTTATTTCTGATTTCTACTTTCAACTGTGTAATTTTATCGGTAATCCTGTGTAATATATTATTCTCTGAAATTTTTTCGCATAATAATTGTTTTTTTCCGAGTTTGCGAATAATACAAGGGTAATCTTCGACAATGAATCCAATTATTGAACATGATTAAAACGCATTGGTGTAAAAGCAAGATTATTTTCGATACATTGATGAACTCTATTGATTAAATGCATTGATTAAAATCCAGAATACGAAAAAAGTTATTCTGCGAGAAATTCCTCGGCTGAATTGGAATGAAACGCTCTGAGTGAGTTGAGATAATGAAACAAAATTAAATTTATGAATTTTTCTCGAATTAAATCTCGTACGAATATTATTATTATTTTTACCTGCACAGTTTTATCTCTTCGTATCCGATTAAACGTCGAATTCAAACGCGCGCCTTGACAGCAGCGGTCAGACGCCGTATTAATTGAAGCGATTAAACGAAAACGAGAGGCGACGAGAGGCGACGAGAGGATAGGGATTCACGCGGTCGCTCGCCGTGATAGCCGCGAGAGAAAATCGAAGAAATATACGTTTTTACGTTCTCCGTCAATATTTTTTTCCGCTTTTACGCTTCACGCGGATATCCGGCTACTCGGCAGCGCGAGCGATCGTTTGCCTCACGGCACAACAACGGCGGTTTATCGGACGGGTGTTATCACGTCACTTGGTATCCACGGGACGAGACCACGTCGCGCCGCCACCGTGGCTCTTCTTCAGCCTCGGATTTCGCGCGTTCTCTCAATTATTCGCACCGATCGATCGCCTTGCCCCTGCCAATCGGCGCGGCGGCAAGTTGGTTGCATGCCGTGTCCGACCTACGTCGGTGGATGCAGCAAGGTAGAGCTGGCAGGGCATGTGTCTCGTGAAAGAAACATCGCCGCCCGTTCTAATGGTAGGGGGTTGGTTAATCGCGAGACTAGGAGACAAGCAAAGCCGAAGTAAACCGAGGTAAAGATTTATGAACGCCACTTCTCTGAGAGAGGAAGGTGCATCGCTGCCGTCAGTTCGGATGAATCGATTCCGAATCCATTCTTATGGCTCGCGTACGTTTCGTTAATTGTCATTAGAGATGCGTTCTGGATCCGTACGAGACGAAGTCTGTACGATTGACGTTCATCGCTTTTGCGGTAACATCATCCGAGACACTTGAGGTTAAGTGTATGTGGAAAGAACAATTTTGTTCAAATATCTAAAAATTCAGCTAGATACACACAGACCATCAAAATAATTATGCAGAAATCTTAAGCATGATGAGCAATGCAATAAGTTTTGATATTCTAGCAACTAGTTTGAACGTCTCGCATACTAACTGCCCTCCAATTGTATTCCAGTCAGTTTAATTTTTAGAAAAAGAATTGTCACAAACTCGTCATAAAAATCGTTGTTTCCATCTCTGACGCCGCTTCTTCTTCAAAATTGTAACGTGACAGTCATATTTAATCAACGGATTTGTATTATATTTAGCAGACAAAAATATATCGAAATCGATTATTTGTATTCGTATTGCAAAAATAGTATTGAATATCGAACAGTGTAATTATATTAATATATTGTCCAATAAAATTATATTCAGACATATATACAGGGTGTTCGGTAAGTTTTAACAAAATGTTCGTGTGTAAGTAGAGCGGACTAAAGGGAGTTGAAAAATTTTTTACAAAGTTGCAATTTTCGCAACTTTTTTTATTTACCTAATGAGCAGAATATGTAAAAAATCGACGCATAAAACAACTTTAAGATACCTTTAAGAGTTTTCTAAAAACATCTTTAAGTTATTTCATAAAGAACTTTGAAGGAAATCTTAAGGGGGTAAAGTAAAATTTTCAAAAAATCGAAAAATTTTTTTACTAGATAGATGAATAGATGGATAGTTAGATGAATAGATAGATGGATAAATAAATGGATAAACAGATGGATAGATAGATTTCTATTAAATAATCAAATGAAACTTTAAACGCGTTTTTCTCAAAACTACTCTTTTTCAACTGGCAGCATCCATAACTCGAATAATTTTTGACCGATCGACCTCAGCTTTGATACAACAGCTTCAAAACAAATAGTTTCAGTTAAGCGTAGGGATTTTTTTGTAAAAGGCGAGATATTTAAGAGGCTCAAAATATAATGAAATTAAATTTTTTTTAAACCGCTGCCATTTTGTAAAAAAGAATCGTTTTAAAAAATCGTTACGCTTAACTGTTACGCTTAACTATTAAGGGAGTAAAACTCCACTCATACAGATACGAAATTTTTAAGAAATTTTCATTTCAGATAATTACTTGAGTTCTCTACGCCGATGATAAATGTTTTTTGAACACGAAATGCTATGAAACATCGCAAAATATTTATATTTAGTACAAAAGTTTCATATAAAAATTCTTAAAATGTTTTCAAAGTGCATCCAATTGATATACCTATTTATATTTTTTCTATTAGTTACCTACTTTTAAGAAAATCAATTTAAAAAAGCCCTCTTTTAAGGCTTTTAAGGTTGTTTTATCCCCTTAAAGTTGTTTTACGCGTCGATTTTTTTATCCACTTATTCAACAATTTTTAAAAATTACTATCTTGTTGCTTATTACGAAAGTTGCAAAATAGTAATGGATTTTTTTACTTAATTTAGTCCGCTCTATGAGCGCTTATGAGCGCTTTGTCAAAATTTACCAAACACTCTGTATAGCTAAATTTTTATATATTTTAGCAAAACTGTTCTTCTTGTGTATCTATAGAAAAAAAAAACACGTATAATTTAACATGTCAATAATAATATGACTCAAAGTATCACGTAGAAATAAAGTTTATTTATTTATTTATCGTTGCTAATCTTAGAGAAGAATACATATTGAATTTGAGATTTACCTGCAGGAAGAGTATCACATTATACAAAGAAGTAAATATCACGTCTAAACAAGCAGAAGGGACTCTTCTTCTTTCTATCGGATTCCTGTCGAAAAGAAACTCCTTTCTCAGTCCATTTCGTTCTCTCACCAATTGCGTTACCGGTCAGTAATTTATTATCAAAAGTAATCCTCTTGGGATACAATCTATACAAACTACTGTATTTTACTGGCTATAAAACTTATATGAACTATTACAAATCATTTCAGAATTTACTCGCGTACGTCGACACAATATCATTATCGAGCTTGGATTCGACCAATTATAAACATCAACTTAAAACATTTTTGTCACGCGAAGATGTAATATGATCATTTATAATATTATAATTTTCATTTACACATTGCATAAGCTCATACTTGATGCACTTGTTCCGTTTTAAAAAAATTTCTTTTATTATTTTTCTAAAAACGTGTCGCACATATTAAACTTTTTGTAATGTTCAAATACAATATTACTGACAATAAGTTAAATTACTTTTATTAATATTTCTCAAAAGACAAACGGCTTTCATTTTCTGTCTTATAACGATAATAACTTAGCTTTATATCGTCAATTTCTTGTCACGGAGTGTCGATCGTTTTGCTTCTTCCCATCTCTCTGTTCTCTATTAACTCCCGCCAGTTATTTCTCCCGTGATAAAGAGCCAGCGAAAGTTTCCTCGTAAATCGTCGTTTGATGTAACATAGACACGAAGCTAATGTATACATCTTCACTGATAACGACATCGAAAATCCTGATCACGCGAGTTGGGTGATCTTAATACTTCTGTAGTCGTTTGTGAACTATTTGTGACAGTCATATAACGATTTTGCACGAACTCGATCTAACAAGAAAGAATTTAATGGAAGAAAAATCCTAATGCAACCGAAATAACTTTAACGAAAATGTAAGAGACTTTTGGTATTAACTTAGTCTCTGTATTTCTCCCGTTTCGTGACTTTCTTATATTGTAATTTTACTGCAATCTTACTTGTAAAATACAAATCTCTCACTAAAAACTTTCGTAATAGACTAACGTATATCTGGATATATTCGAGGGCGTAAATCACGCAGCAATAAAAACGTATTCTGAATTCTCGTAACTTTACTGCTTCATTATTTTCGAGTTAAATTCCGCACTGGATCAATAGGAGAAAATTACTAAATATGTACTATGTGTGTGATTGCCTAATCATATTTCTTGCAGCATGTTACAAAAAGACTGAAACAAATCAGTTTGTTGCTGTAATATATTATAAAGAGTTGAACATGTTGTAATAAGTACCTGAAACATTACTTTCTAATATTCATTTGCGTACAAAAAATGGTACGAAAAATGGAAAATATAATATATAATATATATTTGGCAACTCTCCCCTACATCTGCACTTAATTTAATTGTGATTCTTTTAGCAATTACATCGTGAGTTTTAAACATTGAAACTCTGTCTGTCGCGAGATATTTCACCTTTGCGTGTTAAGCTTTAACTCTAAACGTTAAGAGCTGTCCGTGCATCACGTAAAGCTGTAGGTTGTTAAATTTCAAACCGAACTATTTGCATAACCGTCTTCCTCGTTTCGCTCACGAGATAACGAGGATGAAACGTTGCTTACGCGAAGGTATATACCTGCCTGTTTCCGTGAACTATATTTGCGCCCTCGACCAAGCTGAATCAATTCTCGCTTCTGGTTGCAGTGAACTTGTATGATGGCGAGCAATTAAACTTGACGAGGATCACACGCAGCGAAATGGGTGCTTATCTCTGCATCGCGACCAATGGTGTGCCGCCCACGGTCAGCAAGAGGATCACCGTCGATGTCGAATGTGAGTTTGTAGCAAGCATTCCGCACATTATTATCGCGTTTGTATGCAACAAATATGAGATGTACATATTCATGACGAATGGCATGCACAGTCAGCGATACAAGGGAAACAATGTGACGCGATGATCATAATTTTACGCTGTTATATGCTAGATGTTCGGCAATAAACGCTTAACGACGTTGATGTTTCATTAAAGGGTTCAATTAAAATGAGTAAGGTCTTGCAACAATATATTATTGTATTTGTCAACTGCTATAATTTAATGACGCGACTGTATTGCAGTGGCGCTATAGAATAGTATAAAGTGAATAGTATAAACTGACAAATAAATAACAACGTAATTTACAGTTAAGATGACACGCAATAATATTGGGTTGACCAGTAATTTCTCTCTGTTTGCGATATGGTTTACATCGAATATAATGTTAGTAGTAAATGTTTATTCGTATTTATAAACATTCTGTGAAAGATAAAGTTTCAATGCGCATTTTATTAATTTGCTGGATTTGAATAATAATTTTCTATTGGGAAAACTAGTGCAGCATCAGCGTTGGGCTAGATTTCGAAAAACCGCACCAATGCAATAAAAACCGAACTAACTGCAGGTTTAAATAATAAGAATTTTATTAAACATGCGAGAACACAACTAATAAGAAATATAAATTAAAGGCCTATAATAATCAAAGCTGGATGCTTAAATAATTCACTGTGAATTATGTGTATATATACTATAATATGTATGTATATGTACTCATTGATGCTTAAATAATTTAATGTGAATTATATGTATAGAGGAAAGCCCCCGATTACGAGATAGGCCCCTAATATGAGAGAACGGCGTTTCTGTTAAACTAATAAACGTTATCTATTGATTCCATCATGAATTTATTACTCTTGGATTGAAAACTATTTAGTGGAAAATTCATTATTAAATCATGCCTGTAGTCGTTGTAAAAAGATATCTTACAATAGAATTTGGATATCTAAGTTTTATTGAGATGTACTTTTAATCCTTGTTTATTATCATATCATTTTTTTACATTAATCAGTCTGTATTTCTTAAGGCGTATATCGTAAAGTTGAATTAATTATTGCATCGTGTTCAGCGACCAAAAAAACATATAGTATCACTTTTAAAATCCGACTTAAACCATTTTTGCATCAAATCGAACATGTATTCAAGAAAATCGAAACTTTGATTTAAAAATCGTTCACTAGCGATCTCTAAATCTTAATATTTTTTGATAAAAATTTAGGGGTGTTCTTTTGACATGAAATGAAAACTTTTGAACTAAGTGGCCGATCAAAAAAAAATTTTTTTTCTTGGCAGTCTAATATATGTAAAAATTATCACAACATTTGCTTCATATAAAAGCTGTATAGTCAACTGTAATTATGAAATAGTAGTCCACAGACTAGTAGTTTATTGAAGAAATAACGTGGAATTCTTAAAATTGAACTTAGATGTCTAATTAAAATATTATTGTTATATGAAAATTTATGTATGCGTGAGATATTGATGTAATATTATGTAGTGATGTGTCAATGATATTTAAGTTGTGTGGAAGTCCTACTTATATTGTGATTAATCTCGTCTTTAAGATCTCCTTAGATTTGAATAATATAATATCAAACCTTAATAATTAATATAATGTCACAAGTTTAAATTTAATTTAAATTTAATTTCTATTTGCACTGGTCTTTCACAGTCTCTAAAGATAGCGGAGGGAAAGTTGAATTCAGTGCAATTTTTTGCACTAGTTTTGTCAATGGAACATTAAATCTATTCAGTGAAGTTTAATGATTAAACACTTAAAATATGTGTAAACTGGTTTCCATAGTGGAATAATGCAATTGTATTTCCAGAGTGCAGGATTATAATTTTCTCAGTAGAGAAAATGTTATAACTATTTTCCTATTTTTGGAATATTTTTTTCTGCTATTTGCTCAAGGCAAAAGATTTATAAACCCATGAAATAGTATTAAAAAAAAATAGTATTAAAAAAAAATAGCAATGAAGAACAGTCATAAATAAAACAGCATAGTTATATCATTCTGATATTTTCGGTAAGTTTTATAGCAGCAGATAATAAAGCACTACTAGTGCCTTATTATCAATTGTTACTCACACATTTTTGCGTATCTCACTATAATTATATTGGTATACGATAAATTAAATTAAAACTAAAAATGAATATACCGAAAATGCTTATTCTTGTTCTTCTTATTCATAACGCCAAATGCTAAAAAAAGATCAACCAATTTTAGCAAACCTCTTTTAAAATGCATATTGAAACGTCATTTTTCACAACATGTTTACTATGAATAAACATTTACTAGTAAATTATTCGGTGTTAACTGCGTCATCTCCTAAAAAACAGAGAAACTTGTCAACTCGATACAAAGTTAAAAAGCTTATTATGAGATAGCGATATCGTAGAATGCACAACAACGGCATGCAGGTGTTGCACATAATTACTGTAATAAATTATGTTAATTGGATGCGGCAAACTACTACGATTGTCAACTCCAAATGTTCATAAAATATCCTAATTTCCTAAATTTTCTAGTTCGTTCACATGTTAAATATCGTAAATAGCGACGCAAACTTTCTCGAGGCGGCGACGCGAAAATTGGACTTTTCCATTGGGGGATGGCTGGATCGTATCCAACAATGATTCGATTTATCGAATAAATTTTAAACGCGTTGTTATATGCGATCTTCGATCCGACGGCGGGTCAGTCGTGTATTGTTTAAATTTCATTTCACGAATTGCACAACGCAAGCACACGTGCGCGTACACACGTTGCTGTGCAGCGGCGCACGTGCTCTGCACCGAATACGTGTGTACCAGACAACAAGGGGCAAGGTGGGGGGGGGGGGGGGGAGAAACGCCGTCGGGAAAGCCCGGGGGAAATACTGGAAGCCGCGCACACAAGCCGTCCCGTCGGCTCTGGTCATTTTTCCCTTTTATGCGTTTCATTCGTTCGTGTCACTTCGTATGCCTGCATCCGCGTGCCGTTGTACGTAGGTGTGCGATCTGGCATCGTTGTTGAGAGAAGAAGGAATGGTACGTTACGTATGGCACAGGCCGGGCGGTATCTCTTGAATATTTAGGAGGCGGGGGACATATTTTATTTAGACGAGCGGGATAAAACATCGGTTTTCCGCGCGCGAACGCAGCGCGTTCCGAGTCATAGCGGACGCTTCAGAGACTCGTCTTCGTACACTCCAAACAGCACACGCCTGACATGCCACCTCTTTCTCTCTCTTATCCGTCCAATATACAAACACGTATGCATTAGGGATTTGCGAGGCACCGCCTTGTAAAAATTTTAACCTACGTAATGATATAAGCGAGCCGTAGGAAGTTCTGATTGACGGCATAATTCTTTCATTTCCTCCGGACAAACGATGGTGCACATCAGCGTTGTATGCATTGTAATTTTTTGTCGCCATCTTGATTTTTTAACTGCCATACATGCTAATTTATGTCTATAGTTCTACATTGCATTAGTTGTTTCGGTGTTCCTGCTTTTGTTAACTTTTTTTTTCTTTTAAAGCATCTTTATTATTTATATGCACACGCGATTCATTTTTAGTTTAGAATTATTATGTAGCTGTAAACAAATTTGCGTACAATTGGAAAATTATTATAAAGGTTACAACTATACAAGTTTTATAGGTAGAATTAATGTAAATATATAGTTGAATCGATTTATTTTATAGTTATAATGATTACAATATAATTGTTGAATAAACTATATATTGTAAAAAAGCTTATTTAACTATAAAATAATTTATTCAGGACTCTTCCTCCCCCCCCACCCCGGGTTGTTCTATACCTTCGTATAAATTATATGGTAATTATTTACCTAATGAATAAAAGAAAGAGCGGATACGAGCGAGAGTAAGAGGGCGAGTAAATTGAAATTTTTCGAAAAATATAGAACAATCCAACTTCAATGTACAAAATGTTGCAGATATATTAAACAGTACAACACGATGGGTTTTGCGCGAAGATTTTTCCATGTCATAACTGGAACTCTACAAACTTTATTGGTATAAATCCACTCAATAAGTTATAAGATATACATATACGTCGTTATTGCCTACTCAAGTTTGCCCCTGCAAAGTTTACCGTGCAACTGCCTAACATACATATATCTGCAACACCGTGTGTACATTATTTCTACATATAAAACTTGTATAACTGCCATCTCTATAGTTGCTATCATTGTCTTTTTTTTTAATATACAATTACAAAAGACAATAATAATTTTGAAAATACAACATGTATGGTTGGAAGATATAGTTAATACTAAAAGGTTGACTATTTATTAAAATATATGTAATCTTCCTAAATATTATTGTATTTATCAAAACTATTATAAATATAATTTATTTAATTAATTTATGTTATTTATATATATATTGTATATTCAGAAATTATGTAATAGATATACAAATTTTAGACCTCGTACTATAATATAATTGTATAATGTATCCTGAAATCAGTGGAGAATACAATTATGACTTTACTTCAAGTTGTAAGGCAGTGAATGTGTTGTATGCTCATTACTTATTCCCATACAGAAGTTCCCTTACATTTTCCTATTCTGCTCCACTTCGTTCATTTAGTAACATTAAACACAACCCACGATTTTATTCTTCTCTTACAATTACAATTAAAATTAAATATTGAAGATTTATCATGGATAATGGACACGGTAAAGTACGCATTTAAATTTTGTATTCATTTCTGTAATGTGAAAGAAATGCATAGAATTTGAGAGAGAAAGAGAAGTAGACATTTTGCACAAGAAAAATAGAAAGAAAATGGAAAAGTACTCGATCAATGTAAGACGTCCAGTGTAAGGCTCTTCCTAAATCGGAAGTCTAACAATCACTTGCCGTAACACATTGTAAACTCTCGACATCGGAAACATCGTATAAATTCCAACCAGTCGAATGGTACACTACTTACCCAGTTTTCTAT